TCCAGGGATCCCACTCCTCGGTATCTACCCAAAGGACAGAAGAATTCTTCACTGGGAAAGTGCTTGCACATCGATGTTTATTGTGGCACTATTCACGATTGCTAAGTCATGGAACCAACCCAAATGCTCCCGTATGGAGGAATGGATTGAAAAACTGTGGCACATATACTCTATGGAATACTACTCAGCCATAAAAACCAACAGAACCCTGGCTTTTGACAGAAAGTGGAAGAATATGGAAGATGTACTGCTGAGTGAGGCAAGCCAGGCTATCAAGGAGAGACACTGTATGTTCCCACTTAACATATACTGTATGTCTGCATTCTATGACTGAAACTGATTGACTAACGGTTGAACAAACACAAGAGATGGGTGTGAATGTCAGACGAGGTGTATGTGGAGGAGTGGGGCCTAATGAAGGACATTTGGAGAAGGGATACAGAGGAAGAGCATTGACCGGATGGGGAGGTGTGGTGTGGTGTTATCTGTTAAAGATATTTTGATCAACGGGTCTGGGGAGAAATGTGCACATATCGAAATGGTCTCATTGTTAGCCAAACAATATGATTGAAAGTATATACAAAAAACAAATAATAAATAATGTGAAAAAAAATAAAAAAAAAAAGAGGGAAAAACAGAAAAAAACCTGATACATGCAATTACCTTAAATGTGATTATTAAGCAAGCCACGAGGAAACCAGAAATTGTAAAAAAAAAATTCTATTCAAGTGACAGGCATTAGACATACAAAGGATATAATTAATATCATTTAACCAATGCAACCAAGGCATTACAATGTCTGGTGTAGATCCTACACATAACACTAGTCTTGAATCAACTGTTAAATTAGCTATTAAACCAGACAGTTTTTGCTGTTTTACTTATGCTGTAAGCAAAATTACACAATAAATGCCAACATATATTTTTCTATATGGTTTTGTCCCAGCTAGTATTCTGAAGAATATATCAACCACAATGATATTTTAAAAATGTAACTACAGACCTGTAATAACAATCTTTAACAATCACAATTTAACAATACAATAAAAGAGTTTTTGTAATCCAAATGCTTTGAATTCACATATAATTAATTCCCATGATATGATTTATCAATATAGTTTTAACATTCTCTATTACTACAATCGATGAACTGAGTTTTGGAAATTGTAATTTAGGTATATGTATACAAAACCGTAATTTTTGCCATTAAATTAATACTTGTGGATGGAGGGAGAAATATAAATAATGTTTTGTTCTTTCTCTTTTTTTTCCCTCCTAAGAATCTGTTCCTCCTTCAGTACTTAGCTCATGTCATTCAACAGATACTTCCTTAGTGCTTCTCATGTGCCAGATACCATTCAAGATACTTGTGTAATGCTGCCAAGTAGGACTTTCTGAGATAATGAAAATGTTCAAAATGAAAGAAACAATAGCCACTGGCCAATATGGTGGCTACTGAAATAGATGACTTGAATTTTTAATTTGATTTCATTAATTCAAATTTTAATAGACAAATGTGGCTTGTGGCTACCATAAAGGTCAGAGAAGCCCTAGTGTTACAGAGATAAACAAGACAGATAAGGATCCTGCCTTCATGAAGTTTACAATCCAGTGAAAGATAGTAAACAAACTAGTGAATAATATGTCAGGTGGTGAATGAAAAGGGCAAACAGAGAGGGCCTCCTTTAAGAAGCCGGGCTTAGTCACCTGCTTTTTGCACAAACCCCCATGAACTGGGTAGTAGTGCATAGCACAGAATTCTACTGAAATTTCATGTCTGTCTTGTTCAATTGCACTCTAGTGCCTGCCCGTATTAAATGTACTTCTTGACCACATGTGCATAAGTAATTTATAAAAATCCCCAAACTGACGCAATCATTTGGTGTTCAGAATCCACCAGAAGAATTCAGAAAACGTGAGGAGTTAGAAGTAAAGGCAATCTCAGGAACCAGAAGTTAGTGTAATGGCTATGTCGCTGGACTCCCACGTAGTCGACCGCGGTTCACGTCCGGGACCCGGTGGCTTAAAACTCAAGCCAGGCGCATGTTCGTGCGTGCCCAAGATCCTGAGAGGAGAATGGAGGAGAAGTGACTGAGGTGTGACCATCCTCCCTGGGGGGTGATTTCTCGCTTTGTCTCTATGTCTCTCTCTGTCTGGCGAGCGCACGCGCCCTATAGCGAAAACCTCTCCACCCCCACCAAAAAAAAAGAAAGAAAGGAAGGCAATTTGTTGTTTCTTCCCATCCAGTCTCATGCAGCTTTGAAGTCTCAATGAAAATCAGCAACGCGGAGCCCAGATCGCTTCCTTACCGCGAACAGCAGTTTCTTAGCCTCAACCAGACTGCCCTCTCCAGCCCACACCAACCTTACCAAGGCAAGTACAAAATACATTTTAGCAGGCTGCTTCACGCAACACCGTACCTCTCTCGCCTGCCATTAGATTTCCAATTTTTCCAAAGTAAATTTATACTCAGACCTTAGCGACTCTGCTGCACCAACCACCACACAGGCTGGTGACTAAAGAGGAAAATGGAAGCACAGAAGTGCCATGTACGTGTCTCTAAAATACAACAAACGCTAGGTCTTTTTGCCCCTATACTCGTAAGTAAAGAGGCAAAGTGATTCACAGGCTCTGGGAGAGCGAGAGAGGAAACTCAGACGACCGGAGAAATGCTTGCGAAGTGAAGGGCGGGAATGGATTTGTGCACTATTCCCGCTACCATTTCCCAAGCCCTCCCGCCGCAGCTCGCGGGAGCGAGGGCGTCCGCCGGGCGGCCTGGGAAGAGGCCCTGTCAGGGCCGGGTGGGCGGTGGCCGCCGCCCGTGGCGCCCAGTCCGCAGTCGCTCTGCCGCGCTTTCCGGGGACGGGGCCTCATGCCCGCCCCGCTCACTGTGGCCACGAGTTACCTGCTCGTCTCCAGGGAAGAATAGCGTTCCGGCAAGACCTGGAGGCAGCGCTGAAAGAACCGCACGTGCCGATCTCTCAGGAAATCCAGCCGCTCTCCTTCGCCGCTCCCCGCTAGCCTCGCGTCCTCGGCGGCCGCCATGCTGCTCCGGAAGCGACGTCCACCGCGACCCGGAAGCAATCGTTCCACCACGTGACCTAAGCCCTGGGTGACCTCGGGGCGCTGAGCGCGTGAGGGACGCACGCTCGCCGCTACCGCGTTGGCGGTTGAAACTGCATTGTATGCTCTGGAAATCTTGGGCGAAGGCGTCTGTCTGATTTCTCACGGGCAGCGCGCTACGTCTCTGAGGTTTGGAAGCGCTGACCTGTAAAACCCAGCCGGTACATCCCTCCATCCGATATTTGAAAAGAAGGGCAAGGTCAAAAGTTTCAAGGTTGCCTTGAGAAAATCCTGGCACTGAAAAATCTGTGCACAGTGTGTACGAAAACGTGATGAGTCAGTGTAAATTTGCTAAGGGGCTCTGTTCGTGACCAGTTTTAAGCTAAATGGATTGGGAAACTAAACCTACAAACCAAAACTGTGGAGCTAGATGTTTACTAACAAGAGTTGAGACTGACCTAATTCTCTCAAAATGCTAGGTCTCTCTTTAAAATACGTGTTATATACAAAAGGTACATAATATACATATCCATACGTGTAAGGCTGTGCATCATTTTATTTCACATATCTTACAGCTTTACTTTTTGAGTCTCTTTTGCCAGAAATGGATCAACTTGCAACAGCAGAAAACTAAATGTGTTCACTAACTATCTGAATATCAGAAAAAATGAAATGTTTAAAGGACTTTCTTCAAAAACAGGGATTTAAGTTGTTTCAGCAACATACTATTTCGTTTAAAAGGAGGCATTCTTAGGAGGTAAGGATTCACTCAAAGATCAGGCCTACATTAGGGTCTTCGTAATCAACTTAGCCAAAGGAAATGTGGGTGTGATTTTAATTAACTTTTTTATAAACTGGTTTTTTTTTTTTTAATTTTTTTTATATGTACCCTGTGGGCCACAGTCCTTATACTTATTCAACAATACAAAGCACCTTGAGTAATTTTTGGTATTGCAACTACTTCCTACCTATTCATTTTACAAATACTGTTTTAATTAGAGGATATAAAAGCAGTGAAAATAGTTATGGACACTGGAGACAATGTGGAAGGAGGTTGGGAGAAAGGGAAAGTATAGGGAAGGAAATCAGGGAGAAAAAGAATAAGAGAGGCAAGACATTTTTGGGACACAGAAATGGTCTATTACCTGTTGATAATGTGTATAGTATTCTTGACTGGTCTGAGGAGTATTTCATGTTGGGTAAATTCTCTTTACAAGCCAAATGATGTATAGTGATTGAATGTTTAAAATAATAAAAGACATTGGAAAACAAACAACAAATACTGCTTTAACAAAGGCTCAGTTGGTTCAGCCACTGTGGAGAACGATATGGAGGTTCCTCAAAGACCTTCACATAGAATTTCCATGTGATCCAGCAATTCCATTCCTGGGTATCTACCCAAAGGACAGGAGAGCACTCAGAAAAGCGCTTGCACAACTATTTTCATTGCAGCGTTATTCACAATTGCTAAAACTTGGAACCAACCCAAATGTCCACAAACAGATGAATGGATTGAAAAATTGTGGCACATATATTCCATGAAATACTATTCAGCCATTAAAAAAAAAGGCCCTGGAATTTGATAGAAATTGGGCAAATATGGAAGATTTGTTGCTGAGTGAAGCAAGTCAGGCTATGAAAGAGAGACACTGCATGTCTCCACTTAACATATACTGAATGTCTGTACTTTGTTAGAGACTGAAAGACTAGAGAACATAAAAGTATTAAAAATTGTAATGGACACTAGAGACAAAGTGGAAAGAATGTGAGAGGGGAAGAGTGTAGGAAAGTTGGGGGGGGACTGGAGTGGTAAGACACTTGTGGGACACAGATAAGGTTTATTATCTGTTGACGGGGTTGTGTGTGGTGGTCTCAATTGAACTGGACTGAGGTGTATATCATGCTGGGTAAAGTCTCTTCACAATCTAAATGATGTATAGCAATTTAATGTATGAATAATAAAACAACAACAACAAAAAAAACAAAGGCTCAGTCTCTGGTGCTTCCCTATAAATACAGTAGATAGGTTTGCCTTGATCTTAAGGTATGCCCAGGTATACACCAGTCTAGAGGCATTTCTGTGATTTTACAATTAAGATGTCTCTCTTGGGGCTAGCAGGTGGCATAATGACTAAGGTATGGGATTCCTGCGTGGCCGACCATGGTTCGAGTCCCAAATCTGGCAGCTTGAAACATGCCTGCCCAAAATCCTGAAAGGAGAACGGAGGAGAAGGGATTGCAGCATGGCCATCCCCTTTCTTTTTTTGTCTCTCTCGCAAACATACACACCCTGTAGCAAAAATCTATTGAAAAGAAAAAAGGACACTTCTCTCACACACTAAGGAATGCCTGAGAATATGCAAAGTGGAGTCATAGCAGATAAATTTAACTTGCTAGGATCAACTATGCACATTCTAAACATGCTCATTAAGACAATTTTAATCAACCTGAATTAAATTAGAGAAGCCAAGTATTTCATCTGATCCAAATCTGGAGGAAAAAAATTACTATGATGAAGAAATTGAGAGAAAATAAACCTCCTACGTAAGTAAAAGGCTTTATATGAGTACTTTGGACCATACCAGAATTCTGGTATATGCATGACAAAATCTAAGCCCCACAAAAAATGCCACTCCGTTTTTAGCTAAGAAGTGTAAGTAGCTCAAGTCTTAGAAGTATAGGAAGATAGAACATCTATATAATTGAATATTATTTAGCCAGTAAATAATAATGCTGTAATCATAGGAACATAGGAAAAGATCAGTAATATAAAAATTAAATGATCACAGCATGATAACTAATACATACTCTATGACTGTACCTATTTTAAACTATAGACATATTTTGGGAAAAGTTAACTTAGAATTATGAATGCTTTACAACATTTTTTCTTTAGTGTTTTTTCCCCCTAAGTTTCTTGTAGTTGTTATTTTTAGCCAGAGGGCATGCTAGAGTAAGAGAAAGCACCCCACCCCATCCCACCCCACCCCCAACAGAGCATGGTTACACCATAATCCTTTTTCCTATATTTCTCCTTATCAGAATTTTTGGTATACACACACACATGCCCAGTGTGTTCTTATAATTGTATTTTTTAAACCAATATAAGAAATGCTTGGCATCTCTTCTATGACCTAGTTATTCTACATTTTTCATATAAAACATCTAAATGATAAATTTCATTTAATTCCAACTCAGTTGAAAAGATTAATTCTTCAGAGGAATTTACATACTTTCCTTCCTTTAAAAAAGAAAATAAGGGACTAGCAGATGGTGAAATGGTGACACCTCTGAGCTCCCACATGGCCAACTGCAGTTCCAGTCTGGCACCCATGTGCACATGCCCATAATCCTGAGAGGAGAGAACAGAGGAGAAGGGGCTGTGTTGTGGCCACCACCCGCTCCCCACCTAGGGGTGATTTCTAGCTTTCTGTCTCTAGTGAGCTCATTTGCCCTATAGCAAAACTCTATTAAAAAGGAAAACAAAGTTGCATTTGTATGCAACAAAAAGTAACACATAAAAAAAAGCAACACAATAGAAACATTTAGTTTTCTGAATCTTGAAGGCATGCCATTTTAAAGTTTCTTTGTATCATTCTATATTTTCATCTTGCTTCAAACCATTTTTAAAAAGTTGTAGGTAACAAGTAACAAAATATGTTTTTATTTTGTTTTGTTTTGTTTCAAGAGGCTTTTTTACTATAGGGCGCATGCGCTGGCCTGACAGAGACAGAGTCAGAAAGCGAGAAATCACACCCCAGGGAAGATGGTCATGCCGCAATCCCTTCTCCTCCATTCTCCTCTCAGGATCTTGGGCACGCACACACACGCGCCTAGCGTGAGTTTTAAGCCACAGGGTCCGGGATGCGAACCGCGGTCGACTATGTAGGAGTCCAGCGACATAGCCATTACGCTAACTGCTGGTTCCCAAAATGTGCATTCTTCACTAAGAACTTTTTATGTTTTCTCATTCTGTACTAATAATGGTAAATCAGAATTCAGGTTCCAAAATTTGGAAGCCATTTGTTGTTATTGTTGTTCTGTTTTTGTTTTGCTGCCAGAGAGAGTGCATGCTCACTGGAGGGAAGAAAGCATTCCCTGAAAGGGTCATGCCTCAGTTCTTTCATCTCCATTTTCCATTCTGCCAGGATTCGGGGCACACATGCACATGTCCCCAGCATGGTTCTCAAGACTTAGGGTCTAGGACTCAAACTTTTGTTATCCATGTGAGATCTGACTTCCTCAACCACCAGGCCATAGGGATAACCCAGAAGCTATCTACTTTGAGTATTAACTGATATAAAAAGTTTGGGTTACTATTCATAGTAAATTTGAGTCATTAACCTAAACGTATCAAGTATCAATTAAAGGAACTCTAGGATAAAATTTATAAGAAACAAATTCCTTATAATTTTTATGAATATAGCACCTTTTCTATAAAAGGAAAACCAATTAAAGTTAGGAATTAAGATTTTATAATATGAAAAGTTAAACTACTATTTTTATTACAAAAAAGTTTAGAAAAAAAATTTTAAGTTCCTTTTTATTTTTAGAATTTTGCCTTGGGCGGGTTATGTGCACTTGTCAGAGAAAGACAGACACAGAGACAGTGAAATCTGAGAAATCATTCTCCATGGGGATGGCCATGCTGCAACCCCTGCTCCATTCTTCTCCCGAGATCTTGGGCACACACGCACACGTGCCCAGCATGATTTTCAAGCTGAGTTTGGGACACAGAACTGTGGTTGGCCACGTAGAGTCCAATGAAATGAAAACTGCAGTAGCTAGGAAGATGTGAAAGAAAGATTTTACGTATGTCTGAATTCCAGAAAGGCTGGAGGAATAGAACTCTTAGGCTGAAGGAAACCAAAAAGATTACAATTGCTAGGGTATATGAAGTAAAAGACATATTTTAAAAATAAATAATCTGTATATAAAAGCATGCTTCCAACAAATACAAAATATTTATTACACAAAAATGTAATAACTGACAAATGATCAATTTGTTAAACTTAGAAAAAGTACTTATTTCACAATTCTTAAAAAAAATCACTTTTCACTTTTGTTACACAAGTTAACTTACCACCAAGTTATAAAAGTTACAAAATTTCGTTTTAAAAACTGACTCTATGAGTGTCCCAATTTATTTTGCTGTGCTATGACAAAACTAAGTACCTTTGAAATGTTTTGAGTAATTGAATGAAATAGTTCATAACATAAACTTATTTAAATAACTTTTACATCAATAATAGGCCAACATATACATTAAATACTCTCTTGGTAGAAGAGGAAATACTAAAAAACAATGCCTCATGACATTTAATACCTCTCAATTAACATACAGCACAATAATTTATCTATGCTAGTGATATGTAAAGAACATGGTTGTCATTGTCTCCTGGTATAATTAAATATGCTAACATTTTCATAAACTGAACAGTAGTTCATTCTCTCATATTCTTCTCTATAATCCTTGTCTCCAAGTTGGAATAGCCCTAAGGAGAGAAAAAATAAAGAGCAGTTATAAATATACAGGAAATTTCTTTAAAAAATCTATTTTGTTAAATGTTAACTTTAAAACTGTATGCAGATTTCCTTTATCAACTATTTGCTGTAAAATATACATATAGAGGGAACCAGCAGTTAGCATAATGGCTATATCGCTGGACTCCCACGTAGTCGACCGCGGTTCGGGTCCCGGACCCGGTGGCTTAAAATTCACACCGGGTGCATGTGCGTGCCCAAGATCCCGAGAGGAGAATGGAGGAGAAGAGATTGCAGCGTGGCCATCCCCCTGGGGGGTGATTTCTCGCTTTCTGTCTCTATGTCTCTCTCTGTCTGTCTGGTGAGCGCACGCGCCCTAGAGCGAAAATCTCTCCAAAAAAAAAAAATATATATATATACATATAGATACTGCATAAAACAGGCCTAGCCCTGTAGCAAGGTGGTTAAGCACTGTGCACAAAGAATTACATGTGGCCAATTGCAGTTCAAGTCTTGGTCCCCAGGTTGAAAAATGCACTGAACATGTGTGCAATATGTGTGTTTCCAAAATCCTGACAGGATGGAGAAATGGGTAAAATGGATTGCTATATGACCATGCTCCACTGGGAGGTATGCATGCACACTGATGAGTGTGGGCATGCTCTCGCGAGGAAAAAAAAAAATTACATAAAATAAACAAACATGTAGTTATAAATTATTAAAAAGTGAACACCCATTTTAACTCCTTTTACCTGTGTGGGATATGTAGAAGTGGCCCAGAGCCCATTGGTCCTATCTTTTTGGTTCGTTCTTCCCAACCCTTGGTAGGTTTGTAAAGCCTTGAGGCATCTCTACTAACATTGTTTTCAACCTGTAATCAAAGTAAAACAGTGCTGGGACTAGCAGATGGTGTAATGGTTACGTCACTGGACTCCCATGTAGTTGACCACAGTTCAAATCCTGGACCCAGGGGCTTAAAACTCAAGCCAGGTGTGTGTGTGTGCGTACGTGAGTGCCCAAAATCCTGAGAGGAGACTGGAGGAGAAGGGACTGCTATGGGGCCATCCCCCTGAGGGGTGATTTCTGGCTTTCCGTCTCTGTCTCTCCGGCAAGTGCATGTGCCCTACAGCAAAATTCTCTTAAAAAAAGAAAAAGTAAAATAGTACAAGTTAATTTATATGAACTGTTTGTACCAGTAAGATCTTTAATAACATAAATCAGTTTTTTAAAAATACTTGCTATTAGATAAACTTAAAGTAGATGAGACCAAAATAAATAATAAGATTTGATGTTGTCTCCTTACAATTAGGGAATTAGGACAGTAACAGCAAAAATAATCTCAGGACAGAATACCTTTTCTTTTAACTTTGCCAGTCTCCTTTGTTTTTCAACATTGTTTTCAACCTGTAATCAAAGTAAAACAGTGCTGGGACTAGCAGATGGTGTAATGGTTACGTCACTGGACTCCCATGTAGTTGACCACAGTTCAAATCCTGGACCCAGGGGCTTAAAACTCAAGCCAGGTGTGTGTGTGTGCGTACGTGAGTGCCCAAAATCCTGAGAGGAGACTGGAGGAGAAGGGACTGCTATGGGGCCATCCCCCTGAGGGGTGATTTCTGGCTTTCCGTCTCTGTCTCTCCGGCAAGTGCATGTGCCCTACAGCAAAATTCTCTTAAAAAAAGAAAAAGTAAAATAGTACAAGTTAATTTATATGAACTGTTTGTACCAGTAAGATCTTTAATAACATAAATCAGTTTTTTAAAAATACTTGCTATTAGATAAACTTAAAGTAGATGAGACCAAAATAAATAATAAGATTTGATGTTGTCTCCTTACAATTAGGGAATTAGGACAGTAACAGCAAAAATAATCTCAGGACAGAATACCTTTTCTTTTAACTTTGCCAGTCTCCTTTGTTTTTCTGCCTTTTCAGCTTCCTTTGCCTGTCTATCTATAATTTTCAATTCCAGTTTGTGTAAATCCTAAAAAAAAATACACCAACAAAAAAAACACGTAACATTAGGAAAGTAAAAGTGACTAGAATTTGTTTCAAAGCTTAGTTGTTTGCAAGCAAAATTACTTTAGCTGATTTTATATTAACTGTTTCAACAGAGGATTAGTGCTTTGTTTTCTCAGAATATAAAGTTAAGGTGTGCATGTATTTTCTGTACCTCTTTTTTTAGAAGTGTCGCTTATTTTAAGGTTCAATCAAAAAGTCCTTTTCTATTAGGGGTGAATTATCAATACAGATATGTCTGGTTTTGGAGCTCTCATTTAATATTTCATTAAATGGGTTATCTTTTTTTATCTTTTTTTTTTTGAGAGGTTTTTGCTATAGAGTATGTGCGCTCACCAGACAGAGAGAAAGCAAATCACTCCTCAGGGGAGATGGCCACGCCGCAATCCCTTCTCCATTATCCTCTCAGGATCTTGGGCACACACACGCGTGTACCCAGAATGAGTTTAAGCCACTGGGTTCGGGACTCAAACCATGGTCGACTACATGGGAGTCCAGCAACATAGCCGTTATGTCAACTGCTAGTCCCAGGGTTATCTTTTTTTTAAGGTTTTTATTATATGTCTTGCTTACCATTTGGGGGCATGAGGAAGCATGGGATCTTTGTTATTTAAGCAGATTTTTAATATATGGACTAAAATAAAAGTACTAAAATTTCCATTATGTTTTGCCTGTTATTTTTCTTTTTACCTCCCTTATTTGCTTTATAGATATTTTTACTATATTGTTTGATGCACCTCACTATTCATAACAGTTACACTCTTAAGAGTTAAAGTGGGGAGATGTCTTCAAAAAGGTCATGGTAAAATAGAATTAAAAGTATGAGTTTATCTGGGTGCAAAATATTTTGCAATCCATATATAATTTTCTCACAACATAGCACTCTATGAACTTACTGAAGTCTCATTTATCATTTGATAAAACTTTTGCACTTTTTTCTTTTCAAAGGTTTTTTTGTTTCATTTCAAATTTCCCTGTGTCTTGATTAGCATTTTTCATGTATGCATTTGTTTAAAATTACTTATAATCTTACCTCCAAGTTATAACCTTGATTCCTTTAAGAATGTATCAAGTGTCTATAATGCTCCTAACCCTAGGACACAAAAGACACAAAATTCTGTCCTCATGGAGCTTACACTCTGGTGCACAGAGCCACAGTGAACAAATGAGCAAATCACGGATGGGTAAAAGACCAGCTGATTTGGCAGGGAAGACATCTGGTTGGGAAAGTGAAATCTATGGCTTGGACTGTAGCTACCTTTCTAGCCTCATTCTCTGCTAGTTCCAAGCTCCCCCTTGATGTCCTAAGAATATTCCCCTATAAAGCACACCGGTACACTTTTCCAAGCTATTATTCCCTCTGTGAGGAAGTATCTCCCCTTCTCTTCTCTTTCAACATTCGACTAGGGCCCGCTGGTGGCATGGTTGTTGAGGTGGCTAGATCCCACAGGGCCAACTGTGCGGTTCAAGTACTGACCTGGCAGCTTGAAAAACATACTGGGCACATGTGTGCATGCCCCAAATCCCAAGAGACTAGAGAAAGGACTGTTACATGACCATCCCCTAAGGGAAGTGCTTTCTTAACCTCTCTTACTTTCTCTAGTTTACTTATACATCTCTCAGAAAGCACACATGTACCCTTTAGAAAATTTTTTTAAATTAAAAAAAAAGATTCTATCTTCAGCATCACCTTCTGTCTGACAGCCATAAGCATCCCTCCCTGTGTATTCCACTTTCTAAAATACTCTGTCCACATCTCAGTCACCACAAGAATTATTTACCACTTGGCACGTGTCTTTCCCATAGACCTTAACCTACTGGAAATCAAGGAGCATGGATTGCTCATTCTGGCACGCTGATGGTTCTGCAGAGGTTCTGTATATAGGAAGTACTTGACTTTTGTTCAGCTGAGTCTAGAAGTAATACTTCCATGTGTCACATCTTTATAGTCTTTAGGAAATATATTTACTTACTCTTTCTTGAAACCTGGAAATTTCACTGGCAACAATTTTCCTTTTTGCTGCCTTTTCTGCCTTTTCCCTTGTCTCTTTTTCAAGTCTCAAAAATTCTTCTTGTTCTTTCTTCTGTTGGGTATAATTTTCTAGCAGTAATTTTAATTTAAACTGGCGTTGTCGTTCCTTCTGGTGCTTTTTCTCTTTTTCTTCTTTTTCTCTTAACTGGGAAGCATATTTCATTGACATTTCTATACTTTTCTGTTTTCTCCAAGCTTCAATTGCCAATTTCTGTTTCTTTCTTTGTGCCTCTTTATGCTTTTGATTATCTTCTTTATCGTGAAAAAGCACAGGTATGTTATCTGCCTTTCCTTTTAACTTGAAAAGTTCCTCTTTTTTTTGCTCCTTTTTAGTTTTCCAATTCTGAATAGACTAAAGATTAAAAAAAAAAAAAGATAGCAAGAGAAAAATGTCTTTAAATAAACAAAAGTGTTTTCAAAATACCTCAATTTCATCTTTCTAGAAGAGCTACAGGAGGCTAGATACTTAGGTTTCTAAGTTGTGTTTTGATTTTAACCAATGGCATTTTTTTTCTACTTCTGTTTTAAAAAATTACCTTATCTTTCAAATAATGGTTTGGACTGCCTCTTCCATTCTTTTTTTAAATGGCCAAAAGATATGTTTGCTCTCTGCACCACGTCAAGCATCCCTCTCTTTTTTATTTGTACCTTTTGTTTTCATGGGCAACATCCCTTTTCTCTAGTCATTCAGCTGCTTTTTCAAAATTCTGTTTCTAGGCTTGGAATGCTTTCTGAATGATTTTTCTCTGGTCAAATATCAGAACAGGAATTAAAAGGGGATGATTATGAACATGAGCTCTGAAGCCAAACTATTTGGAACCAAATCATGACTTTGCCATTTAGTAGGCATGACCTTGGATAACTAATTGAACTTCTCTGTCCTCACTTTGTTCATCTGCAAAGTGGTAGATAGTACTTCTTGCATAAGATTGTTGTGAAAATTAAAAGAGCACGTGCCTAGTATAAAGTGCTTCATAAATGTAAAAATGGAAATTAAAAATTAAATGGCTCAATGGTTTTTACATGGGTATGTAAAGATTATTTAACATCCCAGCAGCTTTCTCTCTGTGATATAGGATGTATCCACTGAATTATTTCCTCCTTCAAGTCAGAAAACCAATTTACTGTATCTCCTTACGGTATATCATTCATTCATCCAATACATCTTCACTGTATGTGTACTATGTGCAAGGCAATGGGAAAGGAACTATAGACAACTAAAGCAATACCAAATGTCATACAGTCATTGCAATACTGTTCAAAGGGCCAGGTCACACAAATTTCCTGTTAGTGGGAACCAATACACTGTTTCCTTGTGAGAAAAGATTTTTTTTGAGAGAGAGTATTTTACTATAGTATTTTGTTACAGTATAAACTCTCCAGAGAGATAGAAAGTGAGAAATCACTACACCACAATCCCTTCCCCTCCGTTCTCCTCTTGGGATTTTGGACATGAAGCACATATGCCCAGCATGAGTTTGAAGCCACCATGTCTGGAACCCAAATTATGCTCATCCACATGGGAGTCCAGTGCCTTGACCACTATGTTACCTGCTTGCCCCAAGAAAACAGTCTATGAAAAAATGTCAACTGAACTAAATTACTTACTTGGGCTTTGATTCTAGTACAATCCCTTCACTTCACTGTAGACCAGTAACAATCTGCAAACCACTACCTAGTCCATGGACTACATTTGAGTAGTACTGTTTTAGCTGATATACAACATGGTTATAAATCATAAACGAAGCATAAGCAAAGTGTCAGTGAACCCAGAGAGGGACTGCTAACATTTGAATGGGCATGAAGGAGGCAGCATCTGATCTGGGCAGATTCTGATAAAAGAGAATAGAGATTCCAGAAAGTAAGTACAAGATAAGCAAGGGCCCTCAGACCAGAAATTCCAGGACATATCTGAAAAGGTAAGTATCTTTATTAATGTAAAATGCAGGATATATTAAAGGAAGTGAGAGAGAAAAATGGTAAACTTCCTATTCAACATCTTAAACTTAGTAGATTTAAAACTGAATTTCTGATATTTTTCCCCAAATTTTCCTCACTTCTCCATCATATCCTGTATCAGCAAACTGCACCTCCACTTTCACACCTGTTTCTTCTCAGCCCTACAGCCAGCCAGTCATCAAATATCAGGGAACATAGTGGTTGAGAACAAGAATAAGGTAGAAGGAACAGCAGATGGCATGATGGCTATGTCACTGGACTCCCACAGTCAACCGCAGTTTGAATCCTGGACTCGGTGGCTTAAATTCACGCTGGACGTGTGTGTGCAAGCCCAAGATCCAAGAGGAGAACGGAGAAGGGACTGCGGCATGGCCATCCCCCCTCAGGAGTGATTTCTTGCTTTCTGTCTCTCTGGCGAGCGCATGCACCCTATAGTGAAACCCCTCCCCCCAGAAAAATAAAAATAAAAAAATAAAAAAAAGATAAGGTAGAATCTGGGAATTTGTAGTTATATTACAAGTAGCACCATCACTGGCCCTTTGTCCTCAACAAAACCACTAAGATGACTTGCTAAGGCACAGATCGCTGGGCCTTGTCCCCAGGGTTCTGACTAGGATCGGAGTTAGGACCTGGTAGTTCCTAACAAGTTACCAGGTGATGCTGATTTTGCTGATCTAGGAGCAACTTTAAATACTTCATGTTTTCACAGTATCATGGGAAAAAAAGCCCAATTTATTCTTAGTAATTTATTGTTTTGAGTTTTTAAACATGACAATGTTTCAAAATTTTTTCTCAAAGTCAACTGCCCTCAAAGTCAATTTCCCTGCATTGAACTTATTTCAGAGGGGGAAAACAAAGATGACAACAAAAATCCAGTTATTTTCTTTATAATGAACATGAAATCAGTATTTCTTTAATGCTCCTTAAGTATGTCATTTGCTGAACAGAAATGCCTTCTTTGTTAAACCACCAAGGGACAGTTCAGCATAGTAGAAGTCTACAAAAAAAAAAGCCAAAAAAAACCCAAAAAAAAACAAGACTCAGATTATCTAAACCCATGGTTGTCGACCAGGGGTGATTCTGTCCACTAGTGGACATTGGAAATGTCTGAATACATTTTTTTAAAAAAGAGTTATTTAATTATTTAATTTTCTTTATTCATGCATTTATTTTAATTTGACCAGAGAGAGACATGTAAAGAGAAGGAGAGAGAGGGAAAGTGAGAAAGCAAGCCACCAGGCCGGGGACTCGAATCGTAGTTGGTCGTGTGGGAGTGTCCAGCACCTTAACCATCGCGTGACCTGTTGGTCCCCTGAAGAGATTTTTTATAATTATGACTAAGCAGTGTGATAGGCACATAGAGGCTTAATGCCGGGGTGCTGCTAATCCCCATGCACTACACAGAACTGCTCCCACAGTGAAGAAGTCTCCAGGCTCAAATATCAACAGTGTCAAGGGTAGTAATCCTTTCCTAAACCAACCTGGTGGAGGCCATGCAGCCAACACAGGCAGAGCCTAAAAGAGCTGCCTCTCATGTCTAAGCAAGGCTTGGCTGAGAAGAACTGCAAGCAAGGCTAACAGTTATGAGCTCAAGGTTTCAACTGTGTTTGTTGTGCTCATTTGTACTGTTTTGCTTTCAATCTCTCTGCCATGAACTTTACTGTCATTATGGTACCCAGTAAGGGCAAAATAACACTCCCAGCCTTACTGTAACTTTTACAATAAAACCAATTAATAATCCTGAAAGAATGCGGACCCCTAAGGCGGTGGCAAATGGGAATTATTTCGTGAGACTCATCCCACCTGCCTGGAAAATATCAATAAAGGATACTGCATTCATTTCTCCTACTGGGGACTACATAGATAGCATTAGAAAGGTTTGGGTTAATGGAAAACTACTAAATTGGTGAAATGACCTCAGTAGCTGGAAGAGGCTCAGGGACTCACCCACGAGGTACTGATACCCCAAACAAAGACCATGAGCCACCTTTGATCTCAGGACAAGGAAAGATTGTGGCTCCCCTGAGCCACAGCCATTGTATAGAAAAGCACATAGAGGGTCCCAAGTACACAGTAACCTTTAGGTCAGTCATTAAGCTGCTTACAAGACCACATTCCTTTCCCATATGGGCAATAAGCTCACCCCCTTAGGTGTAATATAAATATTCCACTTTAGTATATATTAACCGTGTCTTTACTTAACAAGACAAGATTTCTGTCTAGGCCTTTGTAACCGGCAATGCTGCTGCCCTTGCCTGGAGCTGAAGTTATCAAGCCAGCCTGGGACTGAAGTTATCAGGCTTCCTGAAAGTCCCCTGATCCAAAAGACCCTTTCCGGTAATCAAGATCTAAGAAGAAAATGCACCAGACAAATCGACTCCCTTGTCCTGAGGACTGTGACTGATTACAGACATCATGTTTTATGATTATTGTTCCCATACTTTGAATACCTCATTTCTTAGGGTAAATCTTTTACCTCACCCTCACCCCTCCTACTTCTCTAGACATCCCTCAATAAATATGTATGTCTTCTAGCCACAGACGCTGCAGTCTTGAGCTTGCCCTGACTGTAGTCGGCTGAGAACATGCTAAATAGCATAGAGGTCTCTGCCTGAATCTCTTCTCGCCTGTGTCGCTTTCCGTCGAGTCTCAACCCACCCTGGCTGGAGCAGGTCTCCGGCACCAACCCAAAATAACACTGCTGTGAAAACAGAACTGGTTAGGTATTTGCTGCAATCAAGGGTTGATTTTTTCTTTATAGTAGCCAGATTTTGAGTCTTTAAGTAGTGAAGTGGGAGGTGGGTTTGATTCTGCCAGTTTCAACCTTCCAGTGGGGAAAGCAGTCCTCTCAATTGATCCCCTCACATTTAAATGGATTTAAAGTGATTACCACTTCTTCAGTGAACACGTCTGGGTTCCTCCTCTTTGCCAGCTGAGAGTCCCTTCACCATCCCAGAATGGCAGACAGGACCTGGTTGTACTGTCAGGCCCCTACTCCTGAGTTAGTGCAAGTTTAATCTGCCAAAGTTTTAAGACCCTGCTCCCTCTCCCCACCATCCTGAATGTTTCTTCTGAGTGTATTTCTTTACTTTACATGGTTTTTGGAGCAATTTTAATTCCCAGTTGTTTATTTTCACAAAGGAAAATAAAATTTCATTTGCAATGAAAAAAAAAGAGATGGGATTGTGACATGCCTATGATCCATTAGAAGGTGGTGTGTGGGGCTCAGGAAAATGTGTTTAATAGACATAAAAATGCATGTAAACAAGGTGGATAGGCTGTGGAATGACATACCACAACGGAGTGAAAAAAGAGACACTGTCAACTTGATATATACCAAAGAAAAATAACAGCAAAAATTGAGGGCACACATGATATAAGGTTCTTTGTTGA